CAAGTTTTAATAATAATAATAATAATAATAATAATAATAATAATAATAAATTCTAATCCTTTAATCCTAATCACAATTCCAATATCATCAGATGATCTGCCGTCAAAGTTTGAAAAAGAGGTCAAATTAATACAATTAATGGGGAATGAATTCCTAAGACATTTCTGGGCAAGTTATGGTTCTAATGTTAAAGAAAAAATGGAAAAGAATAAAAGAATGGTGGAACAGTTAAAAACTACATTGACGAAAATACGTAAACTACTAGAAATTCAACTAGATGATGATGAGTTGCAAAAATTTCAGCAATCCCAAACCAAATTAAATGTTAATGGTGCCAATAGCGTTAGTAATGGTGGTGGTGGTGGTTCATTAAAGCTTCAAAAAAAAGTGATTAATAACCTTAATAATCTTAATCTTAATCTTAATAGCAGTGGTGGTGGTGGTGTTGGTAGTGGTGGTAGTAGTAGTAGCAATATTAATGGAAAAAAACAATCAATGGAAATTTCACAAAATCTAAAACAGGTATTTATTTTATTCTTCATTCTTAAAATAATAATAAATGTATTTATTTATTGTCGGCACTTTATTCCGTTATTAGATTCTTAGACCATTAATTAAATCAATTGAAAAAGCTTTAACATTACATCGTGAATTTAATAAAAGAAAAGTTGAGATCAAATCAAATCAATCTAAAAAATAACTGACAAATTAAATAAAAAATAATAAATTTACTAATTAATTATATATATCATTTGTATTTTTCTCTGATCGAAAAATTTCTGTCACATCTAAATACGTGGAAAAATAACTCACTTGTATCTTTGAATCCTATAATTTCGTTTTTTTTAAAAAAAAAACCCCCCTTTGGAATTATCATAAACTCGTTATTTAACAACCTTATTAATTCCAACAATAAGGATATTATGACTATTATGATATAAAAGACTAGAGTTGGGATGGCCAATATTTTAAAAGCAAAATGATTTATCCATTTTGCTTGCTTTATCTGATGATTGGACAAAAAAGACTGAAGACGGTTTGAAAAAGAAAATGTATATTCAAATTTAATTCATTCAATCGAGGTGAATCACGAGACATTTTATATGCTCAAAAAAGAAGTTGCAATTTCTAAAAGTTATTTATTGCATAGAGGGAAAATGGTTTCAACAGAACTGGGTTTATTTTTCAAAGTACTAAAAATCCGATGATGGATGACTTTAGAAATATTTTCAATGTAGAACAAGAATGATTTTGACGATTGAGAAACTTCTTCAATATCATAATATTAATATCGAGTGATCCAAGAACAAATAGTTCTCCTTGTGCTCAAGTGATATATTTTGAGGATAAATGAATGTCATAGTAATATGGTTATAAAAAAAAATTGGTTGGTGGTTATAATCCCATTTCCTCCAAGGACGAATAAAAAAAATTATTTTTTTAAAAATTTACATAATATTTTGAATTGATTTACATCAAGCAATATACCATATGTTAATTTCAATTGCTTTTTATGTTTAACAGCACGATATTATTATTATGAAAATAATTCGAATTTCGTTTTGGCAAAGGGTATATATTTTTTCCTTTCGCTAGTATATAAACATTTAATATTAAATTGTTTGTTTGTATTTGTGTTGTGTGCTAACTGTTAACTGCTAGTACCCATAATAAATAAAATTTAAAATACAAAGAGGTTGGAATTTCTTTTACAAGTAAAAACCAATTGGGAACAAATTATATACAATGTACACATTAGATATTGTCAAAATATGAAGAAGAGGTTGAAGTGGTAATAGTTACAATTACTTACATTCTCATGATTAGTGTATAATATGTATGACCAAATTATTGTCTAAATTAATCAATTCGTTCGTTTACCGATTAATTTTAATTAACGGATACACACAAACACGGTTAGGAAGGTTGTGGAACTAGTACAAATTTGAAAGAATATTACTGGTGTGTAACGTTTCTTCACTGAACTTTAGTGGTATCGGATTAACATAACAATGTCACGTTCCAAAAAAATGAATGAAAAATAAAAACAAGGGATTTCCAAATCAGTATTTCAAGTAAATTTAAAATTGAGTCCAACACTATATTGCTATTTTTAACACAACAAGGATCGATCGGCGTTATATATGCCAAGGTTATACGAAAAACATCAAAAGATAAATAGAGAGATTATCAAAGAAAGAAAAATTTTTAATTGTTTTCTTAATAGCCCGCATAATACATGTCGATGTAATATGCACATAAAAAGGGAATACAAGATTTCCTATTGAAATAATTTATATAAATTGGGTTTTTAATTTAACTTATTCGTCATTTATAATTTATCGTCATAATTATTATTCTTAACAGGTAATTAATGGGAATTCTTATTTGAATTCAAATAAATTTCTCTCACTCTCTTTTCATTTTTTTCTTCTCGTTGAAAATTGTTGTTTGCCTTTTCTTTCTTCGAATGGTTGAATGCCATCAGAAGTAGAAAAAGAAAAGAAAAAACAATACAATAACAATTAAAAACGTCTTTTTTATTTCTTCAATTTTCATTTTTTCTCATTAATTAATTTTATATTAATTAACCAATTTTTTAGGTGCTTGAATCTCCGACTAACTATATCATCACCATCATATCATCATATCAGCATTTTAATTTGCATCATCATTATCATCAACATTTTAATACTAATCTGAATCAACATCAACATCAACGTTTCCAAAAATACATTTATATTTGATTAAAACATTCTTTAGATAGAATTTTTTCTCAAGAGAAAAAAAAGTTTCGAGAACTTGAAAAAATCCAAGTCGGAGATTCAATCATCTGATATAATACATTATAACTTACAAATTACATTCTTTTTTCCCTCTTCCTTACAAATAAAAAAAAACACATTCTTTCCCAAATTAACTAATAAATAATAATAATAATAATAATTGTATTTGTAATTATAAATATAGAATAATTTAAAAAAATGCCGGATTACGTTTTCACAGCTTCTGCGTTTGTAGCAATTATCTTATGTATAGTTCCCAGTATCATTCACATACAAACAAGAAATTGGGGTGCGATATTTATGACATTCTGGGTGCTGCTCACAAACATGATAATTTTCATCAATTCCATATTATGGGCGAACGATTTGGACGATAAAGCTCCAGTATACTGTTACATAGCTACGCCATTGTATAATGCTGCACATTTTGGTATTATGGCTTCGGCTGTGTGTATGATACACACGCTACACAATTATGTTGTTAAGCCAACATTATTGACTGAAAATGTCAGGAGACGTCAAATATTAATACATTTTTTTCTGTCGATCGTTTTCCCATTCATACTTGTTGCGTTTAATTATTTGAACATTACATCTATTTATGGACTCAGACCTATTCTTGGATGTTCTATACAGGAGAGTAATACTTGGGTATATATTGTCGTAGATGCAATGTGGCCTTTAATAATATCTGGTACTGGATGTTATTTTGCAGGTAAATATTGTTATAATTTTCTTTCAAAATAAAAACCTTTTTTACATGTAAAAAAAATTAATAAATAATTATTTATTTTATAGCACGAACTGCCTATACTATCATTAAAAAAGGACTAGAAATACAAAGCCTGTTAAAATATTCCAAGTCTGGTTTAAACATATCAAAATTTTATCGATTGGTGCTTTTCTGCATAACATTCTTGATAATTGCATTTCCAGCAGCCTGTCTAACATTTTTCTCGAATATACAAGCGTTAGTACCTTATGATTTTGCTGAAATACATAAGGATTTCTTTGTGATCAAAAAATTCGACAATGGCGTGTCATTTATTGATTATGTTAAACCATTGACCGGCTTAATCCTATTCGCTTTTTTTGGTACTGGACGTGATGCAAAGCAAGCATATTTAAGATGGGCCAGGAAATTGAAATTAGATTTGGTGTGTGGATGTTGTATTAATTTTGAACTGGACGATAAAACCTCTACTAATGGTACTACCAGTACTTTGAGGAGCTTGTAAGTTTAATTATTTTTTGTGTTAATTATTTCACTTTATATATAATTCTAATTTATTTTTTCCCAATTTGTAGTAATACAACCAATTCACGTATTGGATCATCCCCAAGATCCCCAAGATCTCCACAATCACCAAATATAAATAATTCATATCATTCAAATCATTCAAATCATTCATATCATTCAAATCATTTAAGTAGCAGCAATAATAATGCCAACAATAATCTTATGCCACCTGAACCAACCCATAACAACATGGGTAATAAAATAATGAACTTCCTTTCTGGTCATAAAACACCAACCGAAAAAGCAGAATTTGATCTTACTAGTGGCATAAGAATTAGAATCGATGGATTAGATACAAAATCGGGTGATGATGAAGATTTTAATGATGAATTAATATATAACAACGATAAAATTGATAATAATGATGATGATATTAATAAAAATCAGTATTTATTAAAACCTGCACCAGCATATCTTAAATCAATTTATAAAACTTTAGAAGATGATCAAGAAGATGGCAATGATAATAGACTCAGGCCTGATATAAGTATCACAATACATAATGATTCATCTATGTCATCGTTATCATCATCTTCAACACTTAATAATAGCACGCCACCACCAAAACCAACGCCGTCAGAATTTATTTATGATGGTGACAGTTTTGGTGATGTTGATGATAGTGTAAACCATATTGATGTATTATTATCAGTTTATCCTGAAGAAAATCAAGACAGTAATGTCCCACCAATTGTGGAGTTATATTAATTTTAGCCTCACCGCCATCTTCAGTCACAGGTCGTAAGTGAGGCATTGTAGAGGAACGACCTCTTTGTTGGTTCATACGTGAATCTTGATCACGTAATAGATCCTGAACCATATCAACCAATCACATATTTGATTTTTTTTTCAAGTTAATAAAAAAATTTTTGCTAAAAAACATTTTTTTTATTTTTAAATTTTTTTTTCTATATTTAATGTGACATACGCAAATTCATAGTATGGAAATAAAACCATACTTTTCTCAACTCCCAGAATTCCTCTTCATTGATACATTTTTGTTCTACTACAAGAGTTTTATGCTGATCAGCTAAAGCGTTATCTCTAAGCAGTAATTGTTTTCGTAATTCAATATCTTTACTGGTAAGTTGTGGTTTTCTAATCGATATCGATGATGATGATGATGGTGATGATGATGATGGAGGCGTGGTGATGATTCTACCTGTGTTTCGTGTAGCAGGAGATGATGAACCAGAAACTGGTGATGGGGCAGCTGAGCGTTGATAGACCGGTGAAGGTCTTGAGGCTGTAGAAGATGTCACAACAACACCTGATCGTTCACGTTGTATACTTTCTGTTAATTCTTCTTTTATTTTTTTTAATTCATCCCAACCTGCTGGCGGTTTTAGTGTAAATATAAAATGTTGTGAATCAGATGAATTATTGTTACTATTATTATTATTATTATTATTATTATTTTGATTTACTATAATCTTAAATTTTGGTTCAGCTGAATCTTCTTTAACAAACGATATTTCTAGAGGTAGAATAAGACAATTTTAATTAGTTATTGATTTTTCCCATATTCATGCAAAAAGAAAAAAACCATGTTGATTAAGTTACTTTGTATTGTAGATATGAAAAAGTCTACTACCGGATTTGACTCGTTACTTGGAGTCCAAAGAACCCTTTTTGTTGTCATTGTAAAAACACCATCTCTTTCTAAGTAATTGGCTACTGCTCTCAAGGAAACTTGTTCATTCATATTTTATATTTTTTTTTATTTTTTTTTTAAAAGTGCAAAATTTATGATTGGTTCATCATTAATTTATAAACAATCGGATTTCATGTATTTTCGACAATAATAACCTTTTCGATAAATATTTCTTTTAATAAAAGAAATTTAACAAGTTTCGACTTGAACCCAATTCCCATAATCACAAAACCAAACCATTCGCTGGTATAAATCACCAAATATAAACTTTGACTTGTTTTAATAAATGTGGAGATTTTTTTGAGTGAGTGACGTGAAACAATCTTTTCATACAACATTTTTTTCAAGTTTTTTTCTCTAACAGGATTAATATATAAATTGAAAACGAAAATTGCATTATTTAAAGAACAACCAAACACTAGTGATTGATTATCGTGATTCAACAATAAAAGAAATTCTTTGAAGATTTAAAAGTGATGAACAAAATTAAACCTGTCTTGTGTGCTGTGTAAAGGTCATTCTAAGTACCAATATTGATCAACCAATGTTTTTCAAACTCAGACACCAAAGACAGCTCAAGAACATTATTAATATTGTTGCGTATTATTATTAGGCGTAGTTCTGTAGTTAATTTCAAAATCAAGAATTCGAAAAAAAAACATCAATTTAACACTACTCATATTTATGTAAAGACAACTTGATTTTTTACATTTTATGATATGTAATAATAAAAGAATAGTTTTAATTTGTAAAAAAGAAGAGGCATTTTTATTTTGAA